TGGCCACTTCCTTGGTATCTACCGTCGCAAGTTGGTAGGTTTACCCTCAATGCAAGTCGCTTTTTGTTTCTTGATTCATATGGTGATTTCATTTCAACAGAAAATTTTACTAGTGAGACCTTTGACAATGGCCTTAAGCTTCAGAGACGGTTAACCATTGGTAGTGATGGCAACGTCAGGGTCTATAGTCGGCGAAATTGGGAAGAGAAATGGTATGTTTCATGGCAAGCTTTTTCCGCAGGTTGCAACATTCATGGCATTTGTGGACAAAATAGTTTCTGCAAATATGAACCTTATACTGGTTGAACATGTCTATGTCTTCCAGGTTACAGATTCAAGGATGAAAGCGACTCCTCGCTTGGATGTGAACCAGCTTTCAATTTGCCTTGCAACCCACAAGATTCGGAACTTTTATATATACCAAATGGTGACTTTTACGGGTACGACCAAGGGACTTTCTTTAATGTCACCTTTGATAAATGTAAGAAGGAATGTTTGAAGTTATGTAACTGCAAAGGTTTCCACTATACACATGATGGTTTTCAGTTTTTATGTTACCCAAAGACCCTTTTGGTCAGTGGCAATCTTTCCCCTGCATTCAAGCCCAAAGACCCTTTTGGTCAATGGCAATCTTTCCCCTGCGTTCAAGTGGCTTTTCACTTGAGGCTCCCACATTCTAGCTCATTCGCTTTTCAAGAACACAATACCAGGTGCAAACATATTAAAGCTGTAAAGCGTAACAGAACCTATGTCTCAAGACAAGATAGTGTTTTATCGAATGTGTTACTGTAGTTAGTGTTAGCAATGGGAGTCTTTGAACTTGCATGCATATTTCTCTTTGTGTCTGACATGGAAAGAGTCTAGCAAGCAAAAGAATTATGATCATCTTTCTGGACCTGCGTTTAGAAAATATAGGTACTATGAATTGAAAGAAGCAACAAGAGGTTTAGTGAAGAGATTATTGGAAGGGGTGCTGGAGGAATTGTATACAAGGGTATGCTAAACGATGGGCGAGTTGCTGCAATATAATTAAGAGACTCAACGAAGCAAACCAAATAGAAAGTGAGTTTCTTGCAGAAGTCAACTTAATAGGAAGGCTTAACCACATGAACTTGATTGACATGTGGGGCTTTTGTGCAGAAGGAATGTACAGAATGTTGGTATATGAGTGCATGGAAATCGGTTCGTTAGTAGAAAACCTTGAATCCAACAAGTCACTTGATTGGAGAAAAAGGTATGAAATCGCCCTTGGAACAGCAAGAGGACTTGCATATCTTCACGAAGAGTGCTTGGAGTGGGTTCTGCATTGTGACATAAAACCCCAAAACATACTGTTGGATTCGAATTATGAGCCCAAGGTTGCAGATTTTGGGCTGTCAAAGCTGCAAAACGGAAACGACCTCAACAATCCAAGCTTCTCAGGGATCAGAGGAACAGGGGGTTATATGGCACCGGAGTGGGTTTTCAATCTACCAATAACATCCAAGGTTGATGTCTACAACTATGGAATTGTCGTATTGGAATGATAACTGGAAAAGGCTTGAGGACCGATGGACCAAATCACTCGCATCAGGGGAGGCTAGTGACGTGAGTGAGGGACAAGATGAATAAAGGAGAAGAAAAGGTATGGGTAGAACAAATCATTGGTCCAACGGTTAAGGGAGGCTTTGATATGAAGACAATGAAGGTTTTGGTTATAGTAGCATTGCAGTGTGTTCTGGAAGACAACATGCCAGACCTTCAACGAGTAGCGTTGTGGAGATGCTTCAAAGTCAAGGGATTGAGTATTGATTTTCAGTTTTGAGCGACAAGTACGTAATGTTTTTTTTTTTTTTATTTGTTTCGGTTATTTTTCATTTTTGAGTTTACGCTTTTGCTTTCAGAAATTTGCTGATTGTATTTTTAATCCATCAGAAATGAGGATGATCTATATGTGAAAGAGTTAAAAAAGAAATATAATTACTATAAAATCTCAATGACAATTGAGCAATTTGTAATAATAAGTTTCATAATAAAAATTGACAATTTCTTACTTATTATTAAAACTTTTTTACAGTTATTTTTTTTCATGAGGCTCTGTTCAATCCCTATGTGTAAAGCTATTTCAAAATCACGAGATATTGACCGCAAATAAGTCTAGTCTTTCACGGTTGGAGATGATCAGTATATTTCATTTTAATAAATTGGTTTTAAGCCCTGGACCCTACAGAATAAGGCTAAAGTCCCCTTTCCCGCACAGATAGTGTCGTCTTCGTCATTACGAAGTGTTGTGATTTAGCTGAATAACTAATTATATAAAAATATATAAGGGTGCTCTAAATTGCTTTTGAAAGCTATTGTGTTTACCTTAAATTACAGTTTATTACATTTTCAAATTAATTTTTTTTTTGTTTTTTTTGGACAGAAATTATTTCTTAACTTCAAAAATTCATAAATGTACTCATATTTTTATGGTTATTTTAATAAAATTAGTAATTAAGTAAAGGTACTTTTAAGTGGCAATTAAAAACTGTCAAACATGACAAAAAAATAATCTTCAAGTACAGTATTTTTGGTTATAATGATGTTTAAAGGCAACATTGCATCATAGTTTTGGGGGGAAAAATTATATATTGCTTCTTATAATAAGGATTGGAAGTAATATACATTAACAAGACCTAATAATACTTATTTTCATAAATAAGAACTTTTCCTAAAGTTTCTTTTATAAATAAGTGTAGATAAGCCCCGTGAACAAAAGAACAATGTGGGTTTCAAGTTTAAGAGAAAGGACCTAAACAGGTAATATTTATTATAAAGGGCCATAATAATTAAAATTAGAATGAAGGATGAAGGTAAGTTTAATCAAATACTTAAATGTGATCAAAGAAAATATATTATTGAACTAGAGACAATTTAATATCTTAAAATTTATATTTTGATAATGAGTCCTTTAAAACAATTCCTCCCCCGCTTCTAACTTAAGAGCTAGTTTGAGACTTAGTTTCAGTATTAAATATAATATTCCTCTGGTCCTAAATATAAAACTCATTTCGTAGTGTAATTTACTCTACGAAAGAGGTCTTATATTTAGGACTGAAGGAGTAATTCATTTTATTTTTTTTATTAATTCTTTCTAAACTAATTTGTTTAATTTATAAATTGATGTATATATAAAATCTAATGTTATATAAAATTGATTTATAGAGATTATATCAATTTAATTAGAATTAAATAATTTTATTTAATTTTTAATTTATTCAAATTCATCAAAGAGATTTTACGTTAATTACAGGAAGAAAAAGATCTTCTATGCTAAATATCAATTCCCCTGACTTTTCCTTACAGATAAGTTATTTCTCATCGTGAGCCACTTTCTACTGTATTATTATTAGGGTTAAGGTATAATTTTAACAATAAAGTTTACCCGAAAGAGTACTGGGCACCATAAAGTTTATTTGGGTGTAAAAATATACATGAAGTTGTCAAAAGGGAGCATCTGGCACCATGTCGTTAATGTCCGTCAGTTTACCGTTAGAGGGCCCAGGAAGTCAGTTTTAAGGTACATTTTTAACAACAAATTTTACATCAAAGGGCATTAGGCACCATGAAATTTACTTGGGTGAAAAAATATACATGAACTTTGTCAAAGGAAAAAAATAACAAAATTCTTCAACCTCCATAAACATCCATTAATTTTATTCTTTTTGGTCTCACCAAATGCTATATTTTCTCTCTATAAATTTTCACTTCCAAGCCGATTCATCTTTCTCTCATCATAGTCAACACGCACACTCTCTCTGTCATGTTGTTTTCTGAGCCTCCAAGCCTTTTATATGTATTTAAGCAAAACACATCTTTCCCTTCTAGGATATGAGGTTCATTACTTGCACCCGAGTACTACTTGCAGTCCTTAATATAGGATCTAATGGACTAATTTGAGGAGATTAAAATAAATAAATAAATTACTTTAAATATTATATTATTTATTTATTTGACGCAATAGCATATAGTACATGATCTCTCTAAAATATTTATATGCATCATTAAATTATATATTAGTTTACAAGCAAAGAAAATTAATTTGGAAAAAAAACAATAAATATAATATTTTAAAGTAATTATTTATTTATTTTTAATCTCCTCAAATTAGTCCATTGCATCCTATATTAAGGACTGGAGGTAATACTTGGGTGCAAGCAATGAACCTCATATCCTAGAAGAGAAAGATGTGTTTTGCTTAAATACATATAAAAGGCTTGGAGGCTCAGAAAACAACATGACAGAGAGAGTGTACGTGTTGACTATGATGAGAGAAAGATAGATCGGCTTAGAAGTGGAAATTTATAGAGAGAAAATATAGCATTTGGTGAGACCAAAAAGAATAAAATTAATGGATGTTTATGGAGGTTGAAGAATTTTGTTATTTTTTTCTTTTTACAAATTTCATGTATATTTTTACACCCAAATAAATTTCATGGTGCCTAATGCCCCTTGATGCAAACTTTATTGTTAAAAATGCACCTTAAAACTGACTTTCTGGGCTCCTCTAACGGTAAACTGACAGACATTAACGGCATGGTGCCAGATGCTCCCTTTTAACAACTTCATGTATATTTTTGCATCCAAATAAACTTTATGGTGCCCAGTATTCTTTCAGGTAAACTTTGTTGTTAAAATTATACCTTAACCCTTATTATTAATATGATCAACCCTTATTATTAATGTGATCACTATGAAACATAAGTGAATAGTTAAGCCACGTCAACAGCGCAACAAGCCAAATGCTATTTTATGAATATCGTACACTGACCCCGGACGCGTACTTTATTAATTATCGTCAACTCTTCAAGCATCTCATTGGCAACCCCTATCCCTCTATCGCCTTTCCTTCCTTTTATGCTTTTCATACAATAATTCAAGTTGGTCGACAAATAAATATCAAGGGATGCAGAAATAATTGCTGGTTTAAAAAAAAGGGGGGGGGGTTGCAGAAATAATTGCATAAAGAGAGGGTGGACTCCAGGGTCAGAGTCGGTTTCCAGTGAGGCGAGAAATCTGACCAGTGTGTCATCGACCGACTCAATCCGCCGCCGCGTTTTTAATCAAAATTCTTGTTAAAACTAAAATGAAATATCTGCTAAGCCGCATCTAGCTCTCTATCTCCTTAGCACATGGCGTTTCAGATGAGTTCTTCCCTGCTCATAGTCCTCTTCGTCTCGGCTTTGCCTTTACTGTGCTTATCTTCTTCATCGAACAATTTGTTTTCTCTGTTCGTGGAGAATCCAGAACATGTCATCAAATCAAGAAATGGCAATTTCACTGCTGGGTTCTATGACGTGGGTGAGAATGCTTTTGTGTTTGCTATCTGGTTCACTGAACCTGGAGGCCAAAACTTGACAGTCATTTGGATGGCGAATCGTGATGTATTGGTGAATGGAAAGGGCTCAACGCTCACCCTTCGTAGCAATGGAAATCTGGTGTTGAATGATGCAGGTCAGGTAGATGTTTGGTCCACGAACACAACTTCCTTGACACCTCCACAATTCATTTTGAAAGATGATGGTAATCTCATTCTCCTTGAAGATCCTAATCATGTTGTGTGGCAAAGTTTTGATTTTCCGACAGATACACTTGTCCCTGGACAGAGGCTTACTAGACATGCCAGCCTTGTCTCCTCCAAAAGTCAGACTAACCCCTCTTCTGGTTTTCACAAGTTATTTTTTGATAACGATAATGTTCTTCGACTTGTCTACGATGGACCTAAGCTTTCGAGTATTTACTGGCCACCTCCCTGGTTTCAACCATGGCAAGTTGGTAGATCCGCCTTCAATGCAAGTCGATTTGTATTTCTCAATTTGGATGGTGAGTTCATTTCAAGTGATAATTTTACTATGAGACATCAGACTATGGCCTTGTGCTTCAGAGACGATTAACCATTGATAGTGATGGTAATGTTAGGGTCTATAGTCGAAGAAATTGGGGAGAGAAATGGGATGTTTCATGGCAAGCTTTTTCTGCAGGTTGCAACGTTCATGGCATTTGTGGAGAAAATAGTTTCTGTAAATATGAACCTTTTACCGGTCGAACATGCTTATGTCTTCCAGGTTACAAGTTGAAAGACGAAAGCGACTCGTCACTTGGGTGTCAACCAGAGTTCAATTTGTCTTGCAATCCAGAGGATTCTGGCTTTCTACATATACCAAATGGTGATTTCTACGGGTATGACCAAGGGACTTACCTTAATGTTACATTTGATGAATGTAAGAAGGAATGTTTGAAGTTATGTAACTGCAAAGGTTTTCAATATTCACATGATGGTTCCCAATTTAAATGTTACCCAAAGACCCTTTTGGTGAACGGCAATCTTTCTCCTGCTTTCCTTGGAGGTTTTCACGTGAGACTCCCTATTTCGAGCTCATTCACTCTCCAGGAACCCGATATCAAATGTGAAATTGTTAAGCCGATAAAGCTTGAGAGAGTCTATGTCTCAAGGCATGATAGTGTTTTTGTGAAGGTGTTATTGTGGCTAGTGTTAGCAATTGGAGTCTTTGAACTTGCATGCATTTTTCTCTTCTGGTGTCTAACATGGAAAAAGTCTAGCAAGAAGCAACCTTATGATCATCTTACTGGTACTGGGTTTAGAAAATATAGCTACTATGAGTTGAAGGAAGCAACTAGAGGTTTCAGTGAAGAGATTGGAAGGGGTGCTGGAGGAATTGTGTACAAAGGTGTGCTCAAAGATGGACGAGTTGCTGCAATCAAGAGACTGAATGAAGCAAATCAAATAGAAAGCGAATTTCTTGCAGAAGTCAACTTAATAGGAAGGCTTAATCACATGAATTTGATCGATATGTGGGGGTACAGTGCAGAAGGAAGGTATAGAATGTTGGTATATGAATACATGGAAAACGGCTCTTTAGCAGAAAACCTTGAACCCAACAAGTCACTTGATTGGAGAAAGAGATATGAAATCGCTCTAGGAACAGCAAGAGGACTTGCATATCTTCACGAAGAGTGCTTGGAGTGGGTTCTGCATTGTGACATAAAACCTCAAAACATACTCTTGGGTTCAGATTATAAGCCCAAGGTTGCAGATTTTGGACTGTCAAAGCTGCAAAACAGAAACGACCTCAACAATCCAAGCTTCTCAAGGATCAGAGGAACAAGGGGTTATATGGCACCAGAGTGGGTTTTCAATCTACCAATAACATCCAAGGTTGATGTCTACAGCTATGGAATTGTGGTGTTAGAGATGATAACAGGAAAAAGCTTGAGGGTTGATGGACCATATCACTCGCATCAGGGGAGGCTAATGACATGGGTAAGGGAGGAGAAGAACAAAGGAGACGGAATGGTATCATGGGTGGAACGAATTGTGGATCCAACAGTTGCGGGAAGCTTTGACATGAAGACGATGGAGGTTTTAGTTACAGTAGCATTACAATGTGTTGTGGAAGACACAGATGCAAGACCTTCAATGAGCCGCATAGTGGAGATACTTCAAAGTCATGAGATTGAGTGTGAATAAAATGTACATAACCTTTGGGTATTGATTTTGAGTATGAGAACTGACATGTAAATAATCTTTTCTTTTAATTATTTATTTTGATTTTTATGTTTTTGTCTGGTTTTTTTTTTCCTGTTTTTTTTCTGGGTCTGATAAGAAGCGGATGTCTTATTTCAACAAAAGACATAGACGCTAGCAAAATGGTAAAGTGACCTTTCATAGCATTTCATGGGTAAATTGACCTCTTCGTAAATTGGTTTTAATCTTATTTACTTGAATTTATTTATTTATTAATATTTTAAATATATTCGTTGTGTAAAACCATCTTTGAGACATACCCACGCATGTGCATACCAAAATCTTTTACATGATTATAAAATGAAACAATTTTGATTTGTTTCTATAATTTTTTTATATAAAATTTTTGCAAAGCATCAAAAGATAAATTAGGAGTATTAGTAGAGTGAGGGATAAATTGATAAATAAAATGTATTCTAATATGATCTTTAATTAAGTGATATGTTTTTAGAATCATCTTTGAGTTTTTAACCATAATGTTAATGATTTGGATTAAAATGTACATTTTTATAATAGAAGAGAGATCTGTGTAATTAAGATAAAATAGAAGACTCATTAAAATATTTTACTCAAAAATATTTTTGTTTACTCTTTAGGAAAAAAGTGATTTTTGCGTGCATAATGGTTACGTCGATATAGGCCTATTGCTAAAAGGGAGAGATTTCTCTTCTCATCATTTTTCACCTTTTTCCCTTCCCGTATTTATCAAACTGACATTTAAAGGGTTTAAATTTGATTTTTTAATAAAATTATTCTAATGTTATATCATAAAAAAATTTGTAACGGCTAAAATATGGCTTAAACTAGTTTAATCTATAATGAAAAGTAAAAGAATATTTTGTAAAAGCTCAAAAAAAAAAAAAAAGACGAGCGAAATTCCCCATAACTAAACTGTTGTTTTTCACTCGGTAAATCTCTTTCTTTATTCTTCATTTCTTTTTACACGCCAAAATTTTGATCATTTTCTTCCTTTTTTTAAAAAAAATGCTAAAATATATACACATTTGTCTTTTTTAAATTTATCTCAAGTTTGTTGAACAAAAAAAAATTTATCTCAAGTTTCTGTTCAATCCTTTAAATTTGAAAAATATGTTTTTAATTCTTTCGCTTTAATATCTTTAATCTCGTTTAACCAAAAAAAATGTTGTCTTATATAGAAAATTTAAATGGTCATCTTAAAATTAAATTCCGACAAAACATTCCATAATTTAAATTCTTTAATATAATTTTTAATAAATTAAATCTTCACCATTTAAAGAATTAGATATACGATGAAATATTAAAAATTTAAGAATTTATAAAAATAATTATATCAAAGAATTAATCTAGAGCATGATTTGTAAGTATTTAATTATAGAATCACCATTTAAATCTGCTTAGTCAACATTTTTTTGTCACAATGACACTAATGGTATTAAGGTTAAAGAATGAAAAATGTATGTGCTTTTTAAATTTAAGGAACTAAACTGAATGTTGTGATAAATTTAAAAGACTAAACATATATTTTAACCTTTTAAATAACCAATAATTTCAGTCTTAAATATATATTTAGTTCATAGTTTAATTTGTACTTAAACTAGATCTAATATTCAGAACCAGATGTAGTATTTAATAACATTTCGAAGCTTTTATTTAAAATCCAAAATTCTGTTCATTACACACTAATCAGGACCTGCTTTATGACTTATTCTTAATTAAGTTGATATGTCAATATATATATAAAAAATATATATGTATCTATGTCAGTGCTATCATAAGCCTATTGCTAAATTGTAGCTTTTTCTCAATTCATTCTTTTCTTTTATGCCAAAAATTCATGTATTTTCCTTTTTTTTCCCCAATTGTTTTAACTTTTAGCTAACTACTATTACTTAATATAAGAGTTAATTGGTAATTAGATTTGATCTTAAATATAAGATCTCAATTTATTTTGTCTTTCATCTTTCTCTGAAATATTCCTATTGATTAGAGGAATTCCCATCAAGAGATAATTCTAATAATCTAATGCACATATCTGAAGATGATAATTTAGAAAAATCAACACATATTTATAACAAATAATCAACTTAATTAATTAATTTTTTTAATATTCTTAAATTAGTTATCTAACTCTTAATTATATTAAAGAGAGGTGGTATTTAATAACATTTCAGTATCTTCACGTCGTTGACAAATGGTTCCATGACAAACTAAAACAGAGAAGAGAACAACGAATGTGAAAGAAAGGCCAATCCATGCATCCATGACAAGTCGCAAGTCAACGAAAAATAAGCACGAAAGAAGACCAAAAGTTGTGTCATTGACCTGTCGTCTTCGCCAGGCTTCACATTCACATGAAAATTTGTTTCTATTCACTTCAAAATTCTTCACAGCTCAGAACATGTCTCTATGTACCTACCACGTGGTGTTTTTAAGTTCTTTTTCCCAGCTCATAATTCTCTCCATCTCGAATTTGCCTTTACTTTGTTTATCCTCTTCCTCAAATGATTTGTTGTCTCTGTTGGTGGAGAATCAAGAATCAAGAACATTAGATGATGATAGTCTCCTTCATCTTGAGCCCCGTAATCATGGTTGTGGGAAAGTGCCTTTTTTTAATTCTTTAGGATTTTTGAATAATCTTTTTTTAAAACAATTCTCACATTTTTTTCTACATAATTTTATATGTAGAATTCAAATTAAACTTAGATTTATTAAAGTTCAACTCCTTCCTATCCAACTACATTTGGTCGAGAGGTTAGGGTTTTTAGGCTCAAAATTTCATTTTTAATTTCAATGTGTCTAATTACTTTCCTTTAGCATTTCCCTATATAGTTTCATCATTTAAACTCATTAAAAGTATCAAATCAACTTGAATCAAACCCTAACTCTATGTTCTTAGCTTGGTCAAAACTTATGTATACATGGGCAAGTTGAATTTTTCTTTTATGAATCATGTATATGTACAAGTTTCCCAACCTTTTTCTATTCTTTAATCCCTAAGCCAACTTCAAATCATTAATATCAAGTGTTACACCATTTTGGGCAGCATGTTTTCCTAAGGTTTTTAGCTACCAAAATCTATCAAAATTAAATCCGAATCAAACACTAATCATGGCAATTCACTACAAAAAAAAGTAGGATTACTAGTGGAACATTTCTAGTGGTTACAGAAAACCGTTACAAATTAAAACATTTCTAGTGCTTTTACATCAAACCACAAGAAATTCGTAGAGCTTTGACCAGAAACGGTGTGAGCCCCACAATTTTCTAGTGTTTATGCTTAAATCGCCAGTAAATGACTGCAAGAATTGTTCGCACGTTTTGGCATGAATTTCGCGCCAAACTTCTAGCGTTTATTTTCTAGCGGTTAGGATGGAAGAACCGCTAGAGAATGTAAATCGTCGTTCCATTTTCTAGCGGTTAGCAAAATTGCTAGTAATTCAACAAGCTTTCTAGCGGTTTTATGAGAAACTGTTAGAAATTTTTTATATTTCCCGAGGAGTTGTAACACGTGGCTGAATAAGGAGGTGGCACAGCGTAACTGCTAGAAAATCGCGGCCTATATATACACCCCACAGCGTCATTTTCACTATTTGGCGAATTCTGAAGCGGAGCTCTACCGAATTCTCTCCTCGAAGTATATCCAAATCCAGATCCAGATCCAGTTGCAGATCCATATTTTCAGGTAAGAATAGTAGTTTGTTTATAAATAATTTTTGTTTTTATTCTTTATTTTATTTATTTTATTATATTTTTTATATTAACTTTGATAGACTAACTTAATTTAGTTAGAGTTAATAGAAATTTTTTTTATGGAAGGCTACTTTTTATAGAGTTAATAGAAGTAGTTATATTTTTGTCTATGATGACTAGCGGACGGGTGGTTGTGCCGCAGAATGAATTGGGCCAACCAACCAAGAAAAGTGGCCAGCCGTATAACAAGTATGTGTGCCTTCTTGGTGAGCAGTGGACCCTGTTCCCCATTTATGTGAAGGATTGGAAGAAAATCACTCAGGAGAAGAAGCAACAAGGTTGAGAAATGATGAAGATAATATAAAATTATTATCTATAATTTTTTAATTTAAGTAAATGAATATATATTTTGTTTTTAAATTATTTAATTGTTTGATTGTAATTTTTTATTTATTTAGTTAATTTTTTATTCATAATATTTTTAAATTAGTTAAATGAATATATATTATTTATTTAAATTACTTAATTGTTTGATTATAATTTGTTATTGATGTAATTTAGTTTTATTCATAATATTTTGAAATTAGTTAAATCAATATATATTTTTTTGTTTAAAGTACTTAATTATTTGTATTGAAATTTTTATTTATTTAATTAATTTATTGCTTATAATATTTTTAAATTAGTTGAATGAATATATGTTTTTATTTAAATTACTTTATTCTTTGATTATGATTTGTTATTAGTGTAATTTATTTTTATTTATAATATTTTGAAATTAGTTAAATGAATATATATATTTTATTTAAATTACTTAATTGTTTGATTATAATTTGTTATTTATTTCATTAATTTATTGCTTATAATAATTTTAAATTAGTTGAATCAAAATATATTTTTATTTAAAGTACTTAATTGTTTGTATTGAAATTTTTATTTATTTAATTAATTTATTTCTTATAATATTTTAAAATTAGTTGAATGAATATGTGTTTTTATTTAAATTACTTTATTCTTTGATTATGATTTGTTATTAATGTAATTTATTTTTATTTATATTATTTTGAAATTAGTTAAATGAATATATATTTTATTTAAATTACTTAATTGTTTGATTATAATTTGTTATTTATTTCATTAATTTATTGCTTATAATAATTTTAAATTAGTTGAATGAAAATATATTTTTATTTAAATTACTTAATTGTTTGATTATGATTTGTTATTGTTGTAATTTATTTTTATTGATAATATTTTGAAATTAGTTACATGAATATATATT